GATGGATGGATGGATGGATGGATGGATGGATGGATGGATGGATGGATTGACAAGCTAATGGCTAATTCAAGTGGGACCAAGATAAAAGTGGGTCTCAGCTGTCTTAGAAAGATTTCAGTGTCAAATGTAGCAGTTTTTCCAAGGCTGTTAAAAATTATATTACTGTGTCCAGAGTTTCCCCTACTGTTATCCAAGGAGGGCTCCCTGCCCTGTCAGCAGAACTGAGCGCCTTGCCTACCGAAATGTCCTTCACCCACAACTCCCCCTCACTTCTGGCATTGACAAAGCGCTAAGCTAGCGCGCAACACCGACGTCTCCCCCCATCCTCCCCCATTCCCGATAAAAATCAAGTGACCTAGAGGAAACACTGGTATCCAGTTTCACATCACACAGTTATTGCGACACAAATATTGGTATTCCTGCAGTGAGTGCCCTAGAAGTGCTACAGCTAGCTGCTGCTGCTGACATTGGCTGGATGAAGCTAACAGTGTTGGAAAGGGTTATCGGAATATTTGAGATTGTAGTTGATTTGAAACGGTAATCAATTTGGGTCTTGTCTCTTCTCGGTTTAGCCATTAGCTCGTCAGAATCAGACACTTATTTTTATGAGCTGTTTAGTGGAAAAAAACAAATGATTATAAACTATGGTGGTAGTGTGTATGTTGTGAAAGAGCATTGGGATGATTGTTGTAGAGTTATGGCCAGAAGCTACATTTTAATATAATATGCAAGATTTGTGCTTTTAATTTAAAAAAATTTTTTTATGCCAGTTGGAGGAAAAACTTGTTGAAGGGAAGCTGTGGGCTAGAAAAGCTGTGGTGCACTCCTGAGAAAGTGTTGCTAACAGAAGCAGTGGGTGGGTTGTTTTGTTAATAATCTCCTGTTTGCAACTAAAGGCATCAGTTTAGGTTTGAGAAAACGGTTGAGGGGGAAAGGACCTTTTCGAGATATTGCTGCCATGTGTTCTGGTACCGTCTTCGCTGTCGTCAGGGTTCAGAAATGAGGTCTGGATGGCTGATCCGCCCCATACGTGGGTGCAGGCAGTACACTGCAGTAAGCCTGGAATGAACACGTTGACACCTGCAGACAAACGAGAGGTGGAGAGAAAGGGAGAATGTGTTAGAGGACTGTGGGCATTCCCACGCTTTGTTTTGACTCATTCATAAGCACAACCTTGGACTCGGCTGCCGCCCCCGCACACACTCACCGATGCACTCTAAATGATCACTTTCTGAGACTTAACAGCGTTTTTTATGTTCCCTGTTGACAGCAAAGCTGACAAGCTAGTCCTTAATGCTCCCATCAGGTTTATAATCACCACTCTTCTCTCTCTTTTGTCTCGTCCCCCACCCCACCCCCTCTCCACCTGAAGTTTAAGAGGTTCCACAGGGAGGTAATAGCTGAGCTGGAGAGGAAGACTGACATGGATGTCAAATACATGACAGTGAGTAATTTCTATGTCTGTGAGCACCATGCAAGTCACTTTGTAGCTGCCTATCCCCCTCCTTTGAGAGAATGCACTTTTAAAGGAGTTTATTTTATATTTCTCGTCTGATACTCTGCACATTCATTTCCTGACTGCAATGAGAGGAGATGCAGCAATTGTAGTGTCCCTATTTCTGATTTCTGTAATCGTGGACAGAATGGGCAGTCAAAGAGGATTAATAAGTAATGTGAGGTTTTTATTTACACAGAAAAAAAAAACACCATAATCCTGTCACATGTAGCTATCTGAGGCTGTAATTTTCTGTCATTATGACTGCAGGCACAATAATTAATTTAAAGTGTGTTATCGAAGAGGCACAACACGCAGAGCAAATAATCTCCTGTTTTCCAGCAGCTATACAAATCATTGTTGGCTGATGCATCTGAAGTCACAAAGTGTAACTAGGCAGAGATGCCATTAGTAGAGATAAATCTAGATTTTTCTTGCTGATCTCCTTCCCTTCTGTTACAACTGAAGCACTTTGGCTACTACTTTTAAACCAGGTGTAGTTCTCTCGGGCAGTGAGGGTCTTTGGCCACATATTTTATTAACAGGCAAAACATAACGGTATGGTACTTATAATGGTCTGATTTATTGCAGTCCTGTACTATATTGATAGAGTCCGTTAATTTTGCAATAACAACAAAATATCAATATACCGTGGAGCCCTAATTTTAATCTTTAAAATTAACTTAAAGGCATTTCTAGCTTTACATAGTTTCCAGAGGGCAGATTAAAGGAGAACACCATAACAAAACATGAAATATCTGTGTTTTACTGAAGTAATGGTAGGTCAGAAAAATTAAGTCACGTGTATCATGTCCAGTGTTTACTGGAATGCAAGTTGTATTCTTGGTAGAATTTGACAAGCCTCTGCAGCGTCTTGTTTCCATTATTCACATGATTCCTTCATCCCATCCAGGCAACGTTCAAGAGATTCCAGATGGAGCAAAAGATGAAGCAAGATTCTCTGGAGCGGGCCCAGGCTGACTTGAAGAAGCTGAGGAGGAAGAGCCAAGGCAAGAACGCCAACAAGTACGAGAACAAGGAGAGCGAGGTGAGTCGGAGGCACAGTCCTGTGACATGGAGACGTCGCACACAGTCGGGTCTGTGCATATGAACATAAATGCATCACCTAGATGTCAATCCCAGCCTCTGACACCTGAGCTGCTGTGTGTCAGAGCAGGTGTAACGGTAGATGGAGACGGTGTGTGAAGTGTCACGCAAGACTCGGGAGAAGATCCTTGTTTCTTGTTGGTGTGTTTTGCCCCGTGAACGTGCCGCACGCTCCCCTCCATTTCTGCTTTTTTAATGCAACAAGCAATGCTTTTAAAAAATGCATTTTTACTCTCTGGCTTTTAGCATAGTTAACACTGTTTTTATTGTTTTTATTGATCTTAATGTTTTAACAACTGTGTTGTGTGTTTAAATTTTCTTGATTTTAGGTGTACAGCACTTTGTTGCAGCTGTGGTTGTTTTAAAAGGCTTTATAAAAAAATTATTATTATTATTATTATTATTATTATTATTATTACGCTGTCAAGTTGTCTGATCCCAGCCGTTGCTTGACTCAGCTGGTTGTGAAATGAAACGTCTTAAGGTTACTAATTTTAGAACATTTTAAATTAAATTGTAGTTTTTCCTGTTCCAACTCTGTTCTCATAGTCTTGATATTTTATTTATTTATTTATATTTAGTATTTTGCCTGTAGTCATGGGAATAAATCGGCATATTAAGGGCGGCTGTGGCTGAGTGGTTACAGCAGTCGTCCTCCAATGCAAGAGTTGGGGGTTCGATTCCACCAGCATTCACATGTTGAAGTGTCCCTGGGCAAGACACTGAACCCTACTGCCTCAGATGTGTGTCCCATCGGTGTATGAATGTGATAAAGCACTGATTAGTCAAGTGCATTCCCAGAGAATATTTATATGAGATCCAGTTTAGGTTAGAGGGAGCACAGCTTCCTGATTGTTACCTTATCTTGATGTAAGCATTTATTTTCTGTGGAATGAAAATTAGTCGAGCATGTTGTAATGGCCTGATCCCACCACACCCTCACCGTCAGTCTGCAACAGAACAGCAGTTTAATTTCAAAGCAGAGTCCCTGAGAGCACAGCTTACGTAACCTGCTCTCATTGATCCTGTCGGGCAGCCTGCTCACCTACCTTTGTGAGTTTTTATGTGCGTATTTAAGGCTTTTTGTGTATTCTGTCAACACAGTTTACCCAGGGTTGGCAGAGGGATTGGCCTAGTCGCACAAACAGAGAAAAATAGAGATTACCATGACAAGTTTTGATTTATTTCTGATTTAATGTCAACAATGTGTAGTATGCACTAAAGTTGAGGTTACTGGTGGGTTTATAGCCTAAAATTATTTACTTTGAAGTTACTGAGTTCGTGAAAGTTTGGAGGGATGTTGAATGTTTTAACATCACATTTTAAGGAATCCATTTTCATTTTACCTTTTTTAATTTAAAAGAAATATGGATAACAAACAACACTCTGTATTTCCTCTTTATATCAACATGTTGGAATGACAAACTGTCCCAAGTTCACATTTTATGCTAACAGACATGGAAGTCTTTTCCATTTAGCTTTTGAGAAAGTACAGATTTCTTTCCTCGTCTTTCTTATTTGGTGTCTTTTCTTTTGATCCCTTTGTCTCTTCTCTACCGCTCCTCCCCACCAGGCCACATGGCAGCTTGTTTGCTCAGTGATTCAATTTAAGGCCGTTTCAGGATTTAAAAGATCAAGTAGAACTTGAACTGGGCCTGCAAACAGGTCGACTGGTCGTCAGGAACTAAACACTAAAGACACTTCAGAGACCGATCCCACAGCAGAGTACAAAAATTACATGTAAAACAACTGCCAAATAAATTAAATAAATCTCAAGTAGAAAATATTAAGAGACTGAGATGTGTGTCAAAGTATTTTAAACATTAGAACAGAGAAAATATGTTTTGTCTTTAGATAATAAAAAAAATCAGATCTTTTACATCATATCTCTGCACAGATGCAGGTTGTTGGCAGTGCTAACATTTGAGAAGTGTTAACAGGGTGTAGATGTGCATGTTAATTTGCCTTTTTTTTTATATATATATATATATAATTTTTTTTATTGAAATTGTGCCATCCATGTAAATTGCTATTCAAATTATTCTCCACTATTAAGTATCTGTTCTGCTGTGCAATATTCTAAAATCATTCGTGCACTTTAGGTGATGATTTCCAAACAAGTGATGCACCTTTTTATTGATTTTTCTCCAGGAAGGTTTAAAATACCGTAATTTCTGTACTATTGAGTGCACCCGAATATAAGCCACGCCCATTAAATTAAAAAAAGTTTTTTTTTATTTTGTACATGTATAAGCTGCGGTTGTCCACATTGTAACATGATATATTTATACAAAGATTTTTTTTAACTTATAATTAAATACATACTGTAACATACACAAATATGTATGATAGATTTTTTTTTCTTTCTTCTTCTTCTCTGAACAGTGCCTCCATCATGGCTGGTTAAATACCAGAAAGTCATTGATCACCATCTTTCTCCTGCAGAGGATTTTTTTAACTGCTCCTCTGTCAGGATCCACTGGCAGGCTTGAGCAAAACTTGCTCTTTGCATGCGTCCAGTTTTGGTAAACGATTTCTCGCCGCCAGTCATCCAAGCCTCCTACTGAGCTCTGAGTGCCACATTAATGCACGATTCACACTTGTTTAGAGTGGCTGCAAATAATTTGTTGTGCCCCATGAGAAGAGAACGAGGGGAGGAGGGCATTCTCTCCTCTTCTCCCCATTTCTTGGGTCCACTGTGATCTGTTAAATAATTTAATTGGTCAGATTTTTTTGCCCACTTTATACAGGTGGCATCATTGGGTCACGAGGACCCACCCTCCAAGAGAGATGCGTATTGGGCAGCTCTGTGAGCGCCCGGGTGTGACAAGGCTAAATGTTTTGGCGGCATGAAGCTTGTTAGCCTGTCGAAATAAAATTAAAAATCCATAAATTAGCCGCAGCATTGTATAACTCAATGTTCGAAACCTGTGAAAAGAAGGAAATTACGGTCAATGCAGTTTTGAAAAGTTGTTTTTGATTGTTAATACCCCCCAAAAAGTACAAGTTTAAGGTTTTTTTTTTTTTTTTTTTTTTTTTTTTTTTTTTTTTTATAAAATTGAGATCAGAAGAAACTTTTCAGTTGTTTTATGCAACTGTGAAATTAACGATGTGTTCTTCATCCTAACGGTGACTTTAATGATGTTTCAGGCTGTACAGAGAGCATCGTACTGTTTAGTGTTTACAGTTAGTCTGATGCTGCCTGAAAGTCACTACATGTCATTAAGGAGGAGTGTAACATACATTTACTTGTTGCTCTGGGTATTTAACTCCCATTGGAACATTTTAGTTTTAAAGCAGGGTGTTACACCTTCATGTTTTATTTTATTTTTTACTTAATCTATTTACATGCGTTAGAAATCTGGTAGCTATTTAGTCAAGAATGTGTTGCGGATTAGATTTCCTGTCTAGAGTATCTTTGGGCAAATTAACACCGTAGGTGCCAACGTCTCTTCCCTCGCCTTACCTTCCAGGTAAATAAAGTCCTTCGTCATTTAGGGAGTCATGAGACCAGGCCTGAATAAAGTCATTGTGTTAGCCGTTACAGGCGTGTCACCTCCAGACACTTGGATGAGATACGGATCTCAAAAAGCAGCTTAAACAATAAATCTGAGACAATCCTTAACAAAGCAGGTTCAGTCAGATTTGTCATGCTCTCATCTCTTTTTCTGAACAACTACGGGTAATAAAGTCTAATGAATCCTGGACACAACTAAAACAATACCAAACAAACATTATTTTAATAATTTTATTTTCTGACATTTGTTTACTCGAGTAGCAAAACAGGAAATTAAACTGGATTCAGCATGATTCATCTGTTAAAGAAAAAACTTTTAATCTAAAATGAAAACGGAATGACTTTGCAGCGTTCACTTTCAAACAGCCAAACACTGAATCCTTTCATGACCTTTTAACCTCTTCCTGTCCGGGGCTGTGGCTGTAGATAACGCCGCCCCTCCCTGCAAGGGATTTGTCTCTCATGCTGCTCTTTTTAAATCGTACCTGCATCCCAGTGTGTCAACACGGCAAACTGCAAACTAACAATACCTGTTCCCCTGCATGGGGGAGATTAAGATTAGCTCCTTTTATGCAATACACTCTTGTTGAATTTGTGTGTATGTCAACAATGAAAGGCTCTTTGTTGTTGCAAACCATGTGCAAGGCAAGATAAGAGCATGCAGTGACCTATGGGAGATGGGCTTTTTTTTTTTTGTTGTATTTTAGCTCAACTTTAGTCATTTGTAGATTTGGATCAATTCAAATAAACCTCATTTGTGCATACCAGTAAATATGTGTCTGTTGAAGTATGATGTAGATTAATCTGTGTGTTTTCAGTGCATCGAAACGCTGACAGGTCGACAGATGGACATGCAATTGTTCCTCGCAGATAGCTGTAAGGAAGCTCTGCTGGAGGAGAAAAGACGCTACTGTTTCCTCGTTGACAAGCACTGCATCCTCACCTATCACTTCGCTACCTTCCATGACAAGGTAAAAACACCCCCCACACACACACCCTTACTTTTACACAAGCTAGCAACTCTAGCTACTGGATGTTGCACTGCTTTAAAAAAGTGCTGAAGTTATAATCAGCAAGCATCAACAATTAATTAATTGTCAATATATGACCACTCTTTTCTCCTGTCTTTGTGACTTGAGGGATTAAATTATTTTCAACTTAATAAAGCAGATGGAAAAATATTATAAGCCATGCAGTTAAAAACACTCAAGTTTTAGCTGTTTAGTCATAAACAGTAATGTTTCTTTTTAGGCTTTAGTTAACACAAAACAGTGACAGAGTAAACAGACTTTACAGGGTTGCACAGCAGTAATGTTACACAACTTGCTAACAACAAATATATTTTGTCTTAAAGCTTTTATTGACTACACACAAGCTGAAATCAGGATCCCACATCCACTACAAGTCCCAACATAACCACATTAAATAATACAACACATCCTCAAATAATTACTTAAATAAAACAGTTTTTTACGACTCTTTGCATTTACCAGCTGAAACAATCCATGACAAAACAACAAAAATAAATAAATTAGGGACGAATATGTCCAAAAAGTGTTTGTGTACTCATAAGCCAGGCATAAAAGTTAATTTGGTGAATATTCAAAAACCTGTAAAGAAAATAAATTCTTGCCTTTCAAGGCTTTCTTTGCAAAACAACAGTCTTTACATTGGATTACGTGTATTTTTAATATAAAAATTTTCAATTTCTGTTAAGAAATTTTATTTTCTATGCTCTAAAGCCACCAATCTTAAAAGCCACATTCCGTCCCGTTACCATAGTGACAGAGCCACATGCACTGCTTTCACTGATCACTCATAATTTTCTTTTAATGTCTGTGTCCTGTTTGCATGTTGAAAAGGGCAGAGAAATATTGGTGTCAAAGCTGAGAACCTGGCAGGACCAGTGCACGGACGCCACCGACATGCCCGAGAGCATTTTGTCCATGATCGAGGGACTGAGAAAACCCGTCACCATCACGCCGCTACCTTCCCCCTCCCCGTCACGACACAGCGTGGTACGACAGCAGGGACAAGGGGATAATCAAAGAAGGGTTCTCGATGTTGTAGTAGAACAATATCTCATCACTTCATAATGAAATCCTTAATTACACCCCTCAGAAGTATTTAGTGTCTGTTTCTGGATGAATCCGTGATTATTAGAACTTTGCTGTAATAAAAAGTTATGTTTTAACCCTTAACTTTAGTTGGGTGGAAACTTTTGTTATTTGATACGATTTCTTTTGTAGTCCCTGTTTTGTTGAGAGTCGTCGTCAAAAACGCCGAGATGGTTCCAGTAGGGAATTGGAACTTGATGCCTTATCTAAATCTAGTTTAAAGGACTGAAACTCAAACTAAAATAGGAGTCGATATGAAAGAAGAGAGTTGAATTTCTTGTCACTTCCTGTGTTCAGCTTTAGATGCGTCCTCAGAGAGCTGAGGAGTTCCTAGAAATCTGATGTCAGGGCTGGCAGTTTCTCAGACTATCTTTTAAAAAAAGGTGCTATTGTTTGGTTAATGTCCAGGTTACTGGGATGTGATGGTGGCTCTGTTGTTTGGTGCCAAAGCAGCCGATGGCCACTTGATTCTGGTGAAAAGGTGTGAGCTGCACCTGCACTTTACCTCTCCGTTCTTATGAAAGTTTTAGAAAAAGATGCGTGATTTAGTCTTTTCAGTGTATTGTTTAGTTCCAGCACTGGTTTTGTGCTTGTTGCTTTGAAAAAGTGAGTAAAATACATTCTGTAGATTGTATTTATTTATTTTTACTTTTAATCTGTTTGGTTTTGAGAGACATCATGAAACTTGTAGTAAGCTGAGTTTATGTGACTTGTTGTTTTGTGTCTGTAGTTCAGCGTTTTTCACAGATTGAACAATCAGCCAACTTCTTCTGTTGTCACGGTTTACTATTTGACAGATGCAGACTTTGACTAGCTCAACATTAGGCTCAAAGTCCCGAAGCAGCTCTGATACGTTTGGAACCATCGTGATCATACAAACCAGTTTGTGTTTTTAGCAGCTAATAATGATCTTTTGGCTGATTTCTGTATAAATGTTTTAGAACCTTTGATCCATATTGTCAGCATGTTTTTTAATACAGCTGTTTCAACCACATTTTTATCTGTAAAATGTAACAAATGACACAATTCAACAGTAAGAGGCTCCTGCTGCTTTATTTGTAATGGTGTTGATTTTTCTGTTGCAGAACATGTCTGCTCCCCCAGCCCCACCTCAGAAGGCTCAGACAAGCCCTTTAGTTAATATGTTCAACCAAGACAACCACACCCACAGTGTAACCACCACTACTAACTACAGCATGGGTAATAAGACATTTTAATATAGAGCAGAGTTTAAAATGAATACATTTCATGGTTAGATGAATTTAAAACCCATAGTTTAAATTGCTCTATCTTTACTTTGTGTTATGGGTTGACATCTGTCTAATAATGTTAATGATGAAATGTAGTCACCTCATCCTTCCTTATTTCTTCAGTCCACGGTAACGGTGACGAGAGCGGCCTTGCCCGGTCCGTGTCCGTCGCCACAGGCCTCAACAACATGGTGAAGAAGCCACGCGTTCGCACCATCTTCCCCCACACGGCTGGCAACAACAACACACTGCTCAGCTTCGACGAGGGAGACGTCATCATCCTGCTCATCCCCGACGAGAGGGACGGGTGGATGTACGGTGAAATGGAGAAGAACGGAAAGTGAGTCAGTTTTCATGTTTGGTCTCCAGAGATGTGCATTAAAACACACAGCAGCGGCAGACGCATAAATGAGTAGCTTAACTAATGTTGGGGAGCAGAAAACTATTATTGTTGGGGAGCATGCCTACTCTCTATGACTAAATGTGGGCACTCAGACTGTACCACCTAACCCTTCAGTTTCTAGACCACTAGCATCTGTACAAAGAAATTCATACTCTAGGAATTACAATATATCTCACTTAACAGCCAAACAATAACGCTTTACCTTCATCTTTTTTGCAGCCTCAAAACAGCTCATAATTGTATACAAAGATAGCAGATTTTTGCATTTTGGTCAAAAGTCAAGTTTAAAGTCAAACAATTCTGGTCACCTGTTGAGCAGTTCATGCGTCCATGCTTCCTACGACTAGTTGGGATCCAAACGTATGTTTGTGGTTGGTATAATGTATAACCCATGGTGCATTGCATCTACCAGCTGGATCTACAGTACTAGACTGGCACGGCTAGTTCCACAAATATTTTTTCCACTTGCTCTTCATATTTACATTTGATTTGTTTATTTTTATGTCTGACTTTTAGGAATAATTAAACTTCAAGCAATAGTCTCAGTAATAAAGTAGGTTGTGTGTATTTACAGGAGAGTACAACAATAAGTTTTTGATTCACTCACTGATTATTCTGTGTGCCTCACCAGCCCCTACAGCTAACTGACCTTAGCAAATACAAAAATGGCTAACCTTGTTAATTTTACAGATACTGAAGTGCAATTTGATGTGGTAGTAGCTGTGAGTCAACAAATTCTCCGAGCACAACACATCTTGCTTGCAAGGACTGTTTGAATTTAGTCACCTGCTTCATTACGTCTCTAAATATTTGACTGAAAAAAACTCTAAAGATTTGACTGAAATGATTATCCTGGGTCTAAATTATTAGGCTGACCATGTCTGTTCGCTCGCATGCCTTTGGGCGTGTCGGTGCTGTCTGAACTGGACCCCTCGCTCATGAGAGAATCAAAGTGAAGCGTTGCCCGAGGGTGAGATGTTCGGCAGCAGACTGGAGCGAGGCACAGAGAGAAGGCTCAGAAAATGTAGACTTGCACCTGCTCTCCCACACAGAAAGGCCCGCTTTCCCCACGGCCCTGATGTCTGACTCTTTAAACAAAGATTTGATCTGAAGCCGGAGGAAGCGTGTTTGAAAATGTTAATCCTTCATCAGGTTTGATCTGTGTTGCTATCGAGGGAAATTACTTCACAAATGTGTTCTGAGAATCATGTCATTATTTTTCTTTGTAATAAATCAGCTTTCTTAAAGTCCTCCTGCAGCTCACCTGGCAACATGTACAATTACCCAGATATTTATAAACTTAAGAAAATGTCTGATTCATGAGTGAGCTGGTGATGAACAAATGTTTGACTCATCATAGACATCAGTCTTGCCATTTTAAACACGATTCCAGCGTCTTGTTTTATGAGCAGGATGACAGAGTTCAGTTTCCTGAAGGCGAGCGGTTTCATTAAACTTGTTCAGTAGCAAAGAGTTGCACTTGAAAGCAAAGATGTTTCTCAATAAAAACCCAAGCAAAAATTCATGAGTGTGACTCAGTAAATGTATTTTCCAGCAGAGTCATGAGTCTTTTCATCAAAAGTAAATGCCTTTTTATCTAAACCTCATGATTAAATCTTAACGTTCGGCCACTGTGAGGGAGAGGCTGAGCTTACACGCTGATTTATGAACGATCTTGAACCGCGACGGCACAATGACACAGCCTTTTCTGAAAACCTTCAAACATTCATGTGAATGCTTTAAAATACTCCTTAAAGGTAAATAATCATTTTTAGATAAGGTAGGATTAAATCAGTGTGGGTTTATTTGATATAATCTGACTTGAGAACAATGGCTGACATTTTAGGTTTCCAAAGGGGTTTGTGAAATTAAACTAGCTTTTCTTGATTGGATGCTGCCTGGAATCCCAAAGTTTTTAACCAAGATGTCACACAATCTGTTAATGTGCAACGTATGTGATGGAGATGACACTCGCTTATTACCACGCCAGACTATAGCTCAGTATCTGTAAAATTGAATGAATTTTAACCATTTTTGTTTTCTCAGATCAGTTGGCTGTGGCAGCCATCTGGAAGTGGTCTAGCTGAAAGTTTATCGGTTGTAGCTGTGCATCCAGGGATTATTTTCTGAGAGTTTTGATATTTTGCTAACAGAAAAACCTATGAATTTAAACTAGTTTCAGCTATCTGTGTTGGTTTTTGAAATAATTAATAAAATGTAAAGGTTAAATTGTGTTAAAACGATGTACAATTCCAAGATTACGTCCCATATCCCCCACTCTCCTTTGTCTCTTCCATAATCGTTTACCTGTTGCTTACCAAAGCTCGAATGTGATTGGTTCAAACTTCTGGGACGACAACCAGAAAGCTTCCCGTGTCAACCATTTTGCCTTAATGTTTACACCTTCTGAATATTCATATGCAAATATCCGCTCACCGAGCTTGCCACTTGACCAGCTTTCTCACACTTTTTTCCTCGGCTCGGTAATAAAGTGGAGCTTATTTTGGTCCATGTGTGGGCAGGAACAAATGGATGCATGAGGCCTCAGAAACCAAGCTGAGAAACTGACTCATGGATTAAATCTGCAGGGATTCATTCAAGGTCTCGAAAAGGTTCAGAACAAGATTTTAATCCGTTTTTTTTTTTTTTTGGTAACTTAAATGTTTCTGCTTTTTAGGACAAATAGAAAATAGTTTGAGTTAGAGGCCACCTGAAAAGACAACTGTGACCCTGTTGTCGGAGTAATTTGTGTGAGAACAAAAGTTTGTGTAATCATCTTTTTCATTCTGTTTTCTGCTTCTGGTTTTAGAAAGCAATGGTGAAAGTCTGACTGGCTGTCAGGACAGTGATGATGGGACCAGAGAGCAGATAGACTGGTGCATTTATCCTAAACTCACCTTCCTTGTTTGTGTGTTTCAGGAGGGGCTGGTTCCCATCTTCATACTGCCGCGCTCTCACAGAACCTCTGGTGAATAACAACAGGTAAGGAGACTCTGCATTCCTGTTGACACACACACCAGCAGGTTTCAGGTTTCAGGTTGCAGCCAGCTGTATTGTTGGCAATGTTTCCTCTGGTTACTTCTATTGTGACAACCTTTCTAATCCTGGGGGAACCCTCCTGTTGCTCAACTCTTGATTCTTGTCCTTAAAACTATGGTTTGGATTTTTTTTATTTTTTTTTATGTGGGACTTTGTGGAAAAGTTATAAACAACAAATATCTTACCTGTTGAAGGTAGTCATTTGGAGCAACATCAGTTTGGTGAAACAGTTTAATTCACAGGACTGATGAACTAATGGTTAGTCATCTTAAATTGGCTATATTCTTTAAGGTGAACGTGAACCTTTGCATCATTTTGTTTCACATTAAACTAGGGATGCACAATATTATTGGCATGGTATCTGTATCGGCCGATATTGGCGATAAAGTTAAATATCGGACATCGACCATTCCATCAAAATAACTCACCGATATAAAATGCATTGTTTTTGAATGACAACCCAGTGACAAGCAAATTTAAGTTGATCATTAAGATTGTATAACCACGTATTGGGCTTCTGTTTTAAGTTAATTTTTAATAATAAAAAAAACCTGTCAAGTATATCTATTAATGCACTACTACTTATGCACTTTTCACTTGTTGCTTGTGAACAGGTTGAGTTTGGATTTGTGAAAATTTACAAATTTGCACTGTTCTTGTGTTGTCATTGTGTTAGAGAGAGTAAATGTCAAGAATAAATTTGACATTAAACATAATCCAAGTTGAAGTGTTGCATCATTTTCAGCCCCTTTTTGTCATCTGCATTTGGCAGCAGGCCAAACTGATTTTTTAATTCCACAGCAGAGAAAGTTATGTCTCTGTAAGTTCTGTAAGTCTCTGTAAGTTGGTCTAGGGAAAAAATTATCTGTATTGGTTATTGGCCAAATAAGTTTTAACATATCGGATATCGGCCAAAAATCCAACATTGTGCATCTTTACATTAAACTGTTGCTCCTGTAGGAATATTACGGTATTCCTGCTGGAAGTGTCCCAGGTTGTTTACAAACAAGCAGTTCGTGTTGCTGCTGTTAACACTCATGGCGTCTCATCGTGGACATGGAAGAGTCTCCTCTTTTAAATATCTAAATATGAGTTTGTTGGCGCTAATCTGTGCTGCAGTAGTTGAGCTTGGTGCTGTTTGTCCTGTTGGAGTTGCCGGAGCTTCCTTTAGCAGAAGCATTTCGCAGTAAATCTGTGTTTTCACATCTTTTTCATCGTTTCTTTGCTGAACCCTGAGAAAATATCTGTAAATAATAGTTATCATAATGTGGCTTCTTCTTGATCCAGTGATGCTGCTGCCCCTCACCGCAGCAAAAGTGTGGTCAACCTCCACCATCAAGACACGGAGACGGACGAGGCAACAATGGTGCTCCCCCCAGCGGACTACAGTAACACCCCGAGATGCAGCTCCGTCAAGACCAACCCCTCGTCCACGAGCAGCGTGGTCACAAACAACCACCATCACTCCCCGACCCCCTCTGCAGCCTCGTCCTCTGATCTCAACACGGTGAGTCAGCGGGCCGAGGGTTGGCGTATGGCCGCTCGCTTTGACATTCTAACAATCGTCTGAACTGCTTGGTCTCATAGTTAGGATTTTAAATGATTGTTGGGAGAATTAAACTCTCTACAGCACAATCTAATCTGCCCCTCATGCCAAACTTCAGCTGCGTCTCACCCGATACCTGCTGCAGCGCGGCCACAGCCTTATCTTGCCGGCTGCTGCTGATGGTACGTGTGTAGGCGGTGTCAAATGAGCTTTATATGTCGGCCCTGGAAACCTGAACGCCACTAATCCACTCTGTGTAGGCTGACCAACAACAAGAAGAATCTGTTGGACTTCAGGAGTTGCTGTTTGTAAAACACCAGGAAACCTGGACTTGTTCAGTCTGGATCCTCATTTTCTTACTTTTCAAGCTACCTTTGATCCTCATTCATCTGGTGAAGCAGTTTTTAGTTTGAATAAATCTTGTTTCTTTACAGTAACACACCAGATGAGTATTCAGCTGCCTCCTTAAACTGCCCTGGTCTTGTGACTCTGATGTAGAACCCACGGTGTCTGGGGTGAAAATCACCAGGCAGAACCAGGAGGAGTTTCTCACTAATGTTAGTCGCTGCTGCTTCAACAGTTGCCGTGGTTACCAGTCTATATGTACATGACAGACTCCTGCAGGAAGGCAGAGCTGAAGCACAGCAGAGAGGGACCTGCAAGTTGTTTTGAGTTAAATTAAAACATTTTTAAGCTGAGTCCACCTTCATCTCAGGGTCATCATGTTTTAAGAGTCTCGAAGATGTTCTGCCTCTGAAGTGAAACTAAAGTTAGCGTGCTTCCCAGCCTGTGATGGAATAGATGCAGCTAATTTACTCTAGGGGTTGAACGACTACATATTTTTTAAAAGTCCACGTTAACATGATAATATTCGAGTCGACATAGTCTAGTTGATGACGTCATAGGAACTCGAGACGCTAAAAAAAAAATAAACAACATAACATCATTTATTTACAAAAAAAGAGCAACAAAACATCGGGAGTGTATATTTATGCTCCTACCATTTATCATACTGCAAATAAGTAACAGGAAAAACAAAACTATTATTAAGCTGCAAAAGTTAGTTTTATTTTATTTAATCCATTAAATAAAAATAAACCGCGGCGGTGGTGGTGCGCACCCATTTTTATTTTATTTAGTGGATTAAATAAAATAAAAATAAAACCATCATCTTTAGAGAAATACTTCCACACTGTTGATGAATTTCTACCTGTTTGGGAAGACGTGGCCTGCTCCTCACCTTCCATCTGCTTGGAAAAATCTGTTTTGTTGCGAGCGAGCGGCGCTGATCACGTGACGCGTGACACAATCACTGACTGTGACTAGTCGACGTGAAATTTAAAAACTCGTGAGATGTCCTAGAATCAACTAGTCTATTCAACCCCTGATTTACTCACAGCCTAATATCAAAATAAACTGCTGGTGATTAGAAGAGATAAGCTGTTTAGAAAAGATTATTATGAAAACATTTTATCTAAAGCTTGTCATCAGAGGACAAAAAGACAGCAGCTGATTGGTGAAGACTGTAATAATCTATCAATATTTACTTCAATAAGAGACATTAGAACTTGACCAAATATCATTTCAGCCATTTCGCCTTGTTCCCTTTCTCCATTTAATGTCATTTCATTTGCATCCCATGCAAACCTGCAAGCAAAGCTGTTTGTTTTTCCTCTACGAAGGCTTTTTATTCGTCCTCTGCAGGATGAATGGAAATGTCTGTGGTTTGTCAGGGTCATATTTTTGTTTACACACACCTGCCCACTCCCTGTGCTTCATCACTGCTGCTGCTCGTCTGCATCTGCTTTCTGTTCAACACAGTCTGTTCTGTTTGACCTACAAGGAGCGGGTCAGAGGGAACTGCTGGGCTTTTTCTTGCCTTATTTAACTATTCACACTTCGCTGAGGACACAGGCAGACCTGCAGCTTGTGGGTCAAAAGTTGTGCATTTCTCTGTGCCTGGGTCTAATCTTGATGCTTTCAGCTCTGGTTCTTTATTCTCTGTCTGGTTCTGTATCTTTCTCAACATCTGAATCGCTTCTTGATCCTGTTTTAGTCTTGTGCTCTATATCCCTCACCAAAATTGAGGATAAAAGTATTTAAGTATTTTCCCAAGATTTTTTTTTTTTTTTTTTCTAAGTGAACTCACTTGATCCTGGAAGGATTTGTGAGGAAAGATCTCCCGTCAGTTGATTAGATGATAAAACTTTGGTTTACATTCAGTAAAGTGTAAATGCAGGTGGCCGTTTCTGTCAGTGCGTTGGCAGCTTGTTTAATTTTCTTACCAGTAATAAAACGATGCACCATTTAGACAATTAAGCAGCTCTTAATATCTAAGGATTCACACCTATAAGCTGTTAAAAATGTTTTGTTTTTTGTTAGTTGATAATTATTCAGTTTGGAAAAAAGGGTGTTATTTCCACATTCTGTACCTGCTCTGAGACACACAACTGATAGGGATCTGTATCTGCAAAGCCTTTTTGTTAAAACTGTGATACAGGTTAGTCAAGAAAAAGGTGAGTAGTAAAATGTGATCAAGCTGGGGGAGGAATGCTTTTTCACCAGCAGAAAGAAATGCGCCCTCACTGGTTCGGTTCCGTGTGAAGGTTGAAGCTGCGACGCTCAGGAATCGATATATTCAGATGATATGAACAGGGGGCGTTCACAAATGACGTGAAGAGGCAGACGGTGCTGTATTTAAAGTGAGGACTGGGAGGGGAAAAGTGAATAAAAACTTGTCTGGTAGCCACTGTTCAGAGCAGAACAATTGGAAACTAAAACTGAAGCGCTGGATTAAAGGAATAAATCCATTATATTTTCTGTCCTGGTTAAATCTGGATCATTCTAAATTCAGATGTTAAACATATTAAACAGGTGTGTAGCAGCCCAGATCCTGTATGAAATGAAACTTCTGTAACTCTGTCCACTACTGACATCTTTTGGATTTGTGCCAGTACTGCAGGCAGCTGTCAGGATACTTCCTTCACAGGCTAAAAAAAAAGATCAAATTGTCTCCTACTTAAGTTGACAGGAAGGTTAAGTCTTAAAATGTCACTTCAGGGTCCAAATCTAAAATATTAGTCTCTACTGTTTTTATATAAGACCTAAATGCTGCACAGTGAGCAATACCAGTTAAAAATTGAAGGTTAATTCAGCTAATCTTGCTTTTATTATCTAAAAAAGTTAAATTTGGTCCTCTGGACATTCAAAAAACAAAACAAAGCAAAAAAATGTAGAAACGTTTTGTCTCTCATCTGAGAGACTTCCTCAGTCTGAGGTGCTGTATTCAGCTCAGTCTCTTAAATAGCACCTTCTCAGAGTGGATCAACCAGTTTTGCTGCTGACAACCAAAACCAGCTGCTCACATGCTAAAGAAGGACCATCAGCCTAACAATGGGTCATTAGCACACTGATGGCTGTTTACTGTTCACAGAGGGCTGAGTGATACTAGCAATCACAGCATTGTAAGAGGGGGACAGTTGAACCCGGAGGCCTCCACCCCTGTTTAATGATGGACGATTTCTTTTCACAAAGATGGCCTCCTTTACCCCTCTCTCAAACCATCGTTCCTCTCTGTCCAGGATGTGAACATCTTCATCCCTGAAAGAGTGACCGCTGGCCTGGAGATGAGTGTAGACCGCAGAGTCCTGGCCTGATGATGTTGATCTTCTGTGCTGGGCCATCCTTTTGGCCAGTGGCTGTTTAGTTTCCCCGATGTAAGACTGATCACCCTCCTGACACTGAACAGCATACACAACATTACTCTGTTTGTGCCGGGGGACTGGATCTTTGGGATGAACCAGTCTTTGCCGTAATGTATTTTGGGGTTTAAAAGCCACTGGGACGTTATGTTTAGAAAATGAACGTCTCAGTTTCTCTGATACTCCCTCAACATATGGAATGACCACTGGTCTGGGTCTGGGTTCCTCCTTTTCACCTGATGGCTGACTGGAGTCCTGTTTGGGTTTCTTCTCTGCTTTCAGGAAGGCCCAGTTAGGATATCCACATTGCTCTAGAGCCCGTCTCCTGGCTCTAGGCTGATGGTCCTTCTTGATCATGTGAGGAGCTGGTTTTGGTTGTCAGCAGCAAACTGGTTGATCCACTCTGAGAAGGTGCTATTTATAAGACTGAGCTGAATACAGCACCTCAGACTGAGGAAGTCTTTCAGATGAGAGACGAAACGTTTCTACATTTTATTGTTTTGCTTTTTGTTTTTTGAATGTCCAGAGGACCAGATTTAACTTTTTTTAGATTTTTCTACCTGGATTATTGAGCAGGCATCAGGATACTTGCTTTTATTAATTTATTTCTGGTTATTCGTTCAACCTTTATTTATACAGGTTAGTCCCACTGAGCATCGAGGACTCATTTACAAGAGAGACCTGATTTTAACAAAGAGTGATGACAACAGTAGACAATCATAAAAATCATACAAATTGAGAAGAACAAAGGAAAGAAAATGGTATTTAAAAAAAAAAGCTAGGTTGTAAAGTGATGTAGAAAACTAAAAACAGGAACATGTCTGTATTGGTTTTTGCCATGAACTTGGCAGATGTTTGAAGCCACTTAAAAAGGTCATGGTCGAGAGCTTCAGATCTTTTTGCAAGATATTCCAGGAAACGGGAGCGGAGTAGGAGAAACGTAAACATGTTCTAAATGTGCCCAAAGCTGGGTTTGTATGATTTCTAATGTGATGCATGGTTTATAGATTTTATTGACCATCTGGAAGGTATTATTTTTATCTTTGAAAGGTTTGGTTTGAGGTTAACTACTGTACAAACCTCTACCAGTTTTCTTTTCCTCAGTAAAAATCGCTTTTGTTCTTGTTACAGCTGCTAAACGTGACAAGATTTGTCTAAATATGAAAAAAAAAAAAACTGCATGAAGCTTCTGTTAGGAGTTGCTTGGGCCTCACAGGGGACGTGTTGTTGTCTTCTGCTGTCAAAATGTTGTTACGGGAAAACGAGACTTGAATTTCCAGAATCGTCCTGACATGTGACGCAGCAAGTTTACCCTTGATCAGAAAACGTGTTGGAATGAAATGAAGCCGGTGAACAGTAGCTGAAGTGTTCCTGTGACTCAGCTCTGGTTTCTCCACAGGCTGCCCAGTCGAACGGCGTCTCGAGACCTCCGCCTGCTTACCTCGCGTAGGTCACATGGTCGCATCATTTCCTGTTCTCTCACTCGGACACACTTTAATTCGTCTCTCCTGCTTTGTTTCCACAGCGGAGGAAACCCGTTCTCCACGGTCAGGCTACGTCCCACCGTCACCAACGATCGATCTGCACCAGCCATCTGACACCCCCCTTCAAAAAAAAACCCTCCACCTTCCTGGGTCACCTGCCACGGTCTTTTAGGTCATCCCCTTACTGTCCAGCTGCTACATCTGGACCACAGCCGAGGAATTAAAAACAAAAAGGATTTAAGTTAGTCCCACTTTCCTGCTACAGTAAATTAAGTATTTTGGAGCATTTTATTTGCTGAACATCTATTTATGATCTATATATATTTTCTATTTTAAACCGTCTGTGTCGTGGTGAGATGGAAATCGCCACGTTTTTACCTGTACTTGAGAAGTATAGCTGAATAAAAATGGTCAAATGTCTGAATGTATTTGTGAAGTTTCAAGTTTTTTTCTTTTCTTTTCCATGGCCAGCAGGTCTTTTAACACTTCAGTATTCTGTCGTGTGTGCACTCGCTGTTTATCGACGAGTTTTGACTTGATGGATGTAAACAAACCTGTCCTAAAAGGCAGTTTTTAATTCGTCCTCGTCCATATAAACCGACTTCCTGTACCGTGGACACTTGTCATGCTGTCAGAACCAACCGTTGTTTGATTCAACCAGTTGTTTCACTCAGTATCATCTTAAGGGTTCGCTATGAAAAACAAATCAATTAATTTCTTCAGGTTCAACACATTCATGTTGCCTCAGTGCTGAAAATATTTTCTCCATTTTAGTCATGTTTGTAGTGTTAGCAAAATAAAGATTTTTGTTCACATTTTCAGGAAACATTATTGGTTGGGCCTCTACAACTGGAAACAAGTTTGTAAGCTCAACCATCCAGGTAGATAAATCACAAAAGGTTAAATCGTGTCATCTGCACAGGATTCTTCACACGCGAGTCAGATCTGGGTTGACAGACCTCAGACTGAAGTCTTTTGGATGAAATGCTAAAAACATTTCTTCAACTTCTGACATGATTTAATCTTTTATTGTGCTCTACAGCAGAAGTTTATCCAAATAAAACTGAATTGTTAGGCCTTTGTGTTAATTATAATAAAAGGAAAAATAAACGAGTAGCATTAACTTTTAATTACAGTAACCTTTATAAAAAGTAAGAATCTCAATCAGAAGAGCGTGAGTAGTGTGTTGTCTAAAGCGAGACTAGTTTGAACCCCTCCCACCTGGTTCCATCTTCTGTGGTGAACGGATTTAAAACATCCTGCTGTGGAAGACATCTGCAGACACGGAGGGGACAAAGACATTCTCCGGTGTCTGGACTGGGAGGAGGATGATTTGTCAGAGTATGGAGATAAAAAAAAAATAATAATCATACACATCGAAGTTCAGCTTTCAAATGAGCTGAAGTTCAGCTCCGCTTTGACACGAGAGTCTCCTCTTAAACGTCCACCAGCGGGACCGCTTCAGATTGTATGTACCTGAGGTCTGCATGGGCTCTGGAAAAACCACCCAGCAGAATCATCAACAATATGTCAGTGCAAATATGGCCCCGAGAATAACAAAAAACAAACGAGCTGGCCGGCAAAAGTCCACTGATCCGGTCGAAGCAGATCTCAAAAATTAAATGGCAATTTATCAGTGATACGAGTACAACGTCACCAAGTATGATGGTGACTGAAAGCAAAGTGTGCAATAAAATAACTAATGGCCTTGGGTGAAGGAATCCGCTCAGATCCACAAACAAAACTCACAGAAAACAAGTCTCTGATCACTCAGCAAGTAGTGAAGGCACTGACGCTCACACGTGCTAAAAATATCCTTGAAGATGAAAATAGATTTCTAAACATCAAAATTTATGGCCAAAAAAAAATCGAAAGGATTTGTTGCACAGGATGCTGCTGGATTATGTGTAAATGAGTTGTAGTTTGGTCCCTCTAGCCGAAGGTGGCGCCACAGTTGGGGCACCTCCTCTGACGCAGAGCGAAGCAGAAGAGGATGCCCAGTGGGAAGAAGAAGATGGCGCACAGGATGCCCAGACAGGTGAAGTCGTCCTCCAGAACCCCCACTCTGCAACAGATTACAGATTAATCATTTAAACCATCATGTTGGAGGTTCATTCTGAAACAAGTCAAAACTGATTCGACTCTTCCAACACTTTAAAATCAACATGGTTAATTAAAAAAAATAACTTTACACTGCTGTAAATGTCCCGTATTTTGTATTTATATGTAAATATTCCTAAGAGGTTGGGGTATTTTGATGCATCACGTCATTGACAAATTATTCTAAATCAATTTTCAAATGTCAAATATACTTTCTGCGCGGTGCCATTGTGCGTTTTCAAATATCTCTTTATTCACTGAACCCTGAAAAGTATGTTAATATGTCGTGGCATGACTTATTTTTAATGACTTTAAAACATTTGATTTGTACAAAATTTCTAGTAACATGATGCTAATTATGTTAGCAGTTCTGTAACGCTTTCAGTGCTATGTTAGTGTCTATGCTAATTGTTGGTTAGCAGCCTGCAATTATACTTTTTTTTTTTTTACATTATATTGTGCACACTTTATTTTGCATAAAAATTAGGGATGCACAATATTGGATTTGTGACCGATACACGATATGCCGATGTGTTAAAACTTACTTGGCCGGTAACCGATACCAATACTGATTATTTTTTTCTCTAGACCTACTCTGCTGTGGAATTAAAATACTACTCTATTCTGCATGATTTTTGGTATTTTATCCTACTATCAAATGCAGATGACTAAAAGGGGGCTGAAAATGATGCAACATTTTATAAATAATAAATATATAATAAAACATCAGCGTCTTTTATATCGATGAGTTATTTTGATAGAATGGCCGATGTCCGATATTAAACTTTATCGCTAATATCGGCTGACACCGATACTATGACGATATCGTGCATCCCTAATGAAAATATACACTTCAGTAATTATTTAAAACAAGCCAAATATTTAAGTTTCAAGATAATCAAAATTCACTGAAACCCGAGTCATAATTGGATTTGAGGTGCCCAACTATCCCCACCCCCAATATTCCAGCAGGAAGTGCTCTAGTTAGCTGCTGCTGCTATTAGCGCTAGCAAATGACCAGAAAATACATAAATGTAAAAGAATGGTCAGAATAAAAAAAAAACTTCCATTTCTCCAGATTTGGGTAATTTAAAAAGCCATCTACAGCAGGTAAGATATTAACTGTTCACAACATTTGCACAAATATCTGATGTATCCCTTTAGGATTGAAAGCTATTTTACTAAAAGTCTCACAATTAAAGCTCTAGACATCAGAGCTGCCACAGTAAATAATGTGCTTTAAAGTGAGTTCCTCTGCGTTTAATTTGATTTAATTAGATCAGCGTCTAAAGAAAACAGAACGTGTGACACAAAAAAATAATTAACTGAGGACCTGAAGCCGCTTGTTTTGAAGGGGGACTTTGGAAGCGGCTTTAATCCAGAGCTGAGGTAAACAAAGTGCTAACCGAGATCTCGTGGTTGCACCACAGCGAGTGGTGTGACTGGAGGCTTCTGGGAGGAAACCATTAACCCTCAGAAGACTGGGGAAGTTAAAAACAACAACAGTGGTTTACTTTCAGAGCTACCTGCTTTGTAAATAAAGCTCTACCAGGTTCAAATGAAGCTGACCGTGTGGGTTTTGGTTCAACGTGGCACCGCTGCCGTGTCGTCGAACTTTTGAAGTGTTTGTACGGGACGTTTGGTGCTCGCTCCACGTCTTGATGCAAATTCTGACTGAAGCTGTGCCAGCACTTTCTGACTCCCCTCGATGTTTTACATATTGCTCTACGGTCGGGGTGACACAGAGAGATTCTGTTCTGCATTTACACGGCTGCTGCAAAGAGCTTTGGAGGGAAGCTAAAGCCATAAATTCAACAAATCAGAAATGTAAAGAATAAATGAGTTGCTCCACTGTGGCGGTTTTGTAGGCATCAGATAAGGAACCTAACTTTTTCCATGACATCATTCGATTGTTAATTCTCAGCGATGACAAGGAAAGTAAAAATAAACCCTACTCAGCAAACTCCCCCAAAAAGAACTAGGTTTTATTCAAGCAAACAGTTTCCTGCGGCCCCGTCACATGCCCGATCAGCTGACTGACAGGAAGTCGACTCGCCCAGTGAAACCAATGTGAAACTTCCAAAACTGAAAGTTGTGTTTGCTCGTCTTATCTTCCCTGATAGTGTGTGTGTGGGAACAGTGGAAAATCAACACACACAACCGCTAACACATGTACTGTAATAAGAGTTCAGAACAGAACGATCATGATCTTTGCGTATAGTTCTGCGAATATCGAGTCAGCAACACTATTATTATCCTGTTTAGTTTTTTGACAACTTCCACTTTGTGACATTTTATTTGTTCATTTATCAAAATGTTCCACTCGTTTGAGGAAAAGTGCTGACTTTTGGTTTTGGGAACTTTTATTCTGCTGAAAACATTTCACCTTATTTACAAGTCTAAGTTAAGTCAGGTCTTCTGGACGGATTCATACAAAAATTGTTGAAACGTTTCGTCTTTTACCCAAAAGACCGTCAGTCTGACGAGCTGCAGTAAACTCAGTCTTATAAATATCACCTTCTCATAGTGGACCAACCAGTTTGTTGTTGATATCCAAACTAGTTCACATGATGAAGGAGGACCATCAGCCTAACAACCGATCGTTAGTGTTCTGATGGCCGCTTGTTAGTCACAGAGGGCTGAGTGATGCTATCAATCACAGCATTGTAAGAGGGGGACAATTAGACACGGAGGCCTCCACCCTGTTTAACGATGGACGGTTTCTCTTCACAAAGATGGCCTCCTTTACTCCTCTCTCAATCCATCGTTCCTCTCTGTCCAGGATGTGAACATCTTCATCCCTGAACGAGTGACCGCTGGCCTGGAGATGAGTGTAGACCACAGAGTCCTGGCCTGATGATGTTGATCTTCTGTGCTGGTTCATCCTTTTGGCCAGTGGCTGTTTAGTTTCCCAGATTTTTTTGAATCCGTCCAGAGGACCTGACTTAACTTTGTTAAGATTATTGAGCATGCATCAGGACACTTATTTACAAGTACTTTCACTGCTGACAAACACCGATAGCTCATCAAGTCTCTCAAAAACATTTCCGTTTTCAGGCTACTGTTCAGCTGCTCTTAGCTTTCAGTTAGCCTTTTGCTACTTTTAACTAGCACCTCATGCTTTTCTTTACTACTTTAACCTTTACAACTTTTACTTTTTAGCTAGCATTTTATTGCTTTTAGCTTGTTAGTTTTGGCATTTAGCTAGTGCGCCGCTCTTTTAGCTTTAACAACTCAGTTTCAGCTTCTTCAGCAAAATCCCTCAGTCCACATGCATTTTCTCTGAAAATGCTTCTTCTGTGGTTCACCCTCAGCGCTCTGATGTGTGTGCGTCCTTACCTGCAGGCGGGGCAGCCCCCCACCACCACTACAGAGGGCTGGATGATGGTGTAAGAGCCCGTGATGGGCGGCTGGGCAACAGCAGGCCCCATCTGAGCCGATGGAAATCCTGCAGGTTGGAAAAAAAAAAACGAGGCAGCACAAGTTATTTTTATATAACCATGGAGTGTGTACAAAATATCCCTTTAATGCAGTGTAAATAGTTCATCTGGGTCTCCGATTAGAGCACGTGTATTACATAATTACAAGCACGGATCTCAATAATGCACACAGATCAGGTGCTGTAAATGTAGCAGCTGATAATCGTGGTACGATAAACAGACCAGAGTCAAAACAGAAAAGTTATGAACGTGTTAGTGGGACGGCTGATCATTTCAGTGACTCCAAGTCATTTTGACCTTTTTAGACTTTTCATCTGCAGCTCTGATTGTGCAATGCAGGGAACTTTTATGAGACTTTTTGTGAAAACACAATTCTTAAGTTGAGCTAACAAAAAAAAAAAAAAACAATCACAGACAAAGGAATAACAATGGTGGCACAGAAAACAGGAAATTTCACGCAATTACAAGAAGTGGGAGTTGATTTTTAAAAGCCACTTCCTGTTAGAGCTGCACGTACAATCACAGTCAGGTGACTTCTGATCACAGGAAGACCAAGTCAAAACTGCACAAACATACGGTATTTCCTACTAGTCATCAAAATAAGGAGGCTCTTCGTGTGGATTTAACATCCATCGTTTGGGAAATACAGGCCTCCGAAAACTCGTTTTCTTTAATTATGCTGACAATTAGTCCATCAGTCACTGCGCTAAATGATGACAACATTTTATTATTTTACTCTACGATTAAAGCTTATGTAACAGTAGCAAAAAAGTTAAACAAATTGAGCTAAATTAAAACCTTCTGAATTTTATTTTTAAAAGAAAAATAAAGCGGGCAGGAGCGCGAGCTCCCGTCCCGCCTGTTAACTTTTCGTGTAACGTTCAGGTCGCGTAGGAAACGGGGCGACTTGCCTGGGCCTCCGGGGTAATGGTAGGGCGGCGGGGCCGTAGGCGGGATAGCCCCGTAGCCATGCTGGGGCAGGCCGTACCCCTGCGCCCCCGGGACGGCGTTGTAGGCGGGAGGACCGTCTTGAAGAAGAGGTTTGCTGTCCATCATCTCACCCGAAGGAGTAAGGTGTCCTCAACTCGCCTTCTCTGTTGCTCCTACTCCTTTTGAGGCTAAGAAAAGTAACGCAACAACTTAACTGTTGTTGCTTAAAAACTGTGCGCGCTGCGGCGGAAAAAACGATGAGAATATGCTGCGCAAGAAAATGAAACTTCGACCCTCTCCATGCGCCAACTTTGCCCCAGGCGACGCAAAAGGCTCACCGAGTGTCCACCGTTACCGCGGGAATGATCAAAGTTGGTCCGCTAACGGCTAACTTAGCCCCATTCCCCTCACTGAAGTTGGTCCTTCGGTGTGAAAACAACGTCACCGCTGCAACTCGTAAGTCATCTGGAAGTCAGAGACGCTTTTCCTTTCTGTCTGGTATTGTCACAAGAGAAGCATCATGTGACAAGCTGCTGTGGCGCGTCTGCGCAGTGAAGAGGCTTCTTAAAGGGACAGTACACCAAAGCAAGAGGCGGCGCGCGCCTGCTCCAACGTCAGGCA